CTCCGCCTCCTCCGCCTCCTCCTCTCCTCCTCCTCCTCCTCCTCCTCCTCCTCCTCCTCCTCCTCCTCCTCTCCTCCTCCTCCTCCCCCTCCTCCCCCCTACCCTGGCAACGTCCACCCCCCCCTCGGCGTCGGGGTCGGCCGGCGTCTGTCGTCCGTCGTCCGTCGTCGTCAAGCGTCTGTCGGATGCCGTCGTCGGGCGCCGTCTTCCCTCGTCTTCCCTCGACGCCCCTCGTCGTCGGGCGCTATCGACGTTGGAGGAGGGGAATGTGCGAGGAGAAGGAAGATAATGCAGGAGGAGGGGCCGTATGAGGAGGCTGGGAAAGAGGAGGAAGAGGAGGAGGAGGAGGAGGAGGAGGAGGGGGACGGGGAGGAGGCATAATTATCCCAGTGCGACCCTACCTAGGAGTTGGAGCATCTAGGAAAGCAACATCTACATCTACACCGACAGCTACATTAACATCGACATCCACATCTACAGCTAAGCTAAACTAAGCTAAAGCTAAGCTATGCTATGCTGCGCTGTGCTATGCTAAGCTATGCTATGCTATGCTATGCTATGCTATGCTATGCTATGCTATGCTGTGTTTTGCGTTGTCTTGCTTTGCTGTGCACCCAGCGACAGCAGGCTGTTCAGCACTGCTCGCGGCTCCTGCAAGTGCTGCAGGCTGTTCAGCACTGCTTGCACTAGGTTCAACATTGCTCGCGGCTCCTGCAAGAGCTGCAGGCTGTTCAGCACTGCTTGCGGGGGCTCCGGTCCGGCCATCGAGGTTAGCTCGGCACCTGTCGCACACTGTTGTTGCTTTGCCTTTCCTTTGCTTTGCTTTTGCTTTGCTTTGCTTTGCGTCGGTTGTGCTTTGCTTTGCTGGTGCTGCTGTTGTTTTGCCTTTGCTTTGATGCTATTATATGCTGCGCTATGCTATGTTATGCTATGCTATGCTGCGCTATGCTATGCTATGCTGCGTTATGCTAGGCTGCGCAATGTCATGCTAGGCGTTGCTATGCTATGCTATGCTACGCTATGCTGCGCTATGCTATTATATACTATGCTATGCTGCGCTATGCTAGGCTATGCTATGATATGATTTGCTGCGCTATGCTGTGCTATGCTGCGCTATGCTGCGCTATACTATGCTATGCTTTGCTGCGCTATGCTATGCTATGCTATGCTGCGCTATGCTATGCTATGCTATGCTAGGGTGTGCTAGGCTGCGCTATGTTATGCTAGGCTATGCTATGCTATGATATGCTTCGCTATGAAATGCTATGCTATGCTGCGCTATGCTAGTATACGCTATGCTATGCTGCGCTGTGCTATGTTATGTTAGGCTATGCTATGATATGCTATGATGCGCTATGATATGATATGAGTTGCTATGCTGCGCTATGTTATGCTATGCTATGGTATGATATGCTGCGCTATGCTATGATATTATATGTTATGCTGCGCTATGCTATGATATGCTGCGCTGTGCTAAGCTATGCTATGTTATGCCATGCTATGATATGCTATTATATGGTATTATATGATATGCTATGCTGCGCTATGCTATGATATGCTATGATATGGTATGTTATACTATGCTATGCTATGCTAATGCTGCGCTAAGCTAAGCTGAGCTAAGCTGAGGTATGCTAGGCTAAGCTAAGCTAAGCTAAGTTAAGCTAGGTTAAGCTAAGATGCTATAAGCAAAGCTAAGCTAAGGGGGCGCAACTGGGGGAACCGCGGGGCGGATACTGGGGGAACCGCCCGGGGGTTTTCCACTGCCCGGCCCCTTTAAGCCCAGAGAGCAAGAACTCTTCTAGGCAGAACCTAGGTAGGGAACAACACGTTTCGCACGCGTCCCGTACATAAAACCAACTATGCTACGTTTTGCTATGCTATGTTGTGCTCTGCTATGTGAAAGCTCAGCGAAGCTAAGATGAAGGTAAGCTAAGCTAAGATAAACCTGAGCTAAGATAAACCTGAGCTAAGATGAACATAAACTAAGCTAAGATGAAATAAGCTAAGCTAAGAAGAGATAAGCAACGCTAAGCTAAGGGGACGTAACTGGGGGAACCGCGGGGCGGATACTAGGGGAACCGCCCAGGGCGGGTTGCACTGCCCGGCCCTTTAAGCACACCGAGTAAGAACCCTTCTAGGCAGAGCCTAGGTAGGGAAAAAAGGGGGGGAGGAGGAGGAGGCCCAAAAGCCCAGTTGTTTTTCGCGGGCGCTCGGGTTTCGCTCCACGTTGACTGGGGGATTCCAGCAGGAGTTTCCTAGTCCAGCGTCCACTCGTTCGGCGGCTTCTGTCGTCATGTGATGGGTTTTTTTTCGGCGTAGCGCTCGCCCGATCAACAGTCACAGCCATAAAATTGAAAACTCGGGATGGCCGAGAGCTCTTCTGACAAGGGGGAGTTTACAAAATCTGGGCGGGCGCGCTATGCAGGCGATCGCTTTGAATAAGTGTATAGCCGCTGTGTATAGGAAGGGGGAGCTGAAAGGTTGGGGGAGGGGTCTAGGAAAAACGATTGCGTTTACAGGGCTTGTTGTTTTTCGCGGGCGGGCGGGTTTCACTCTGTGATGTTTGGAGGTTCCAAGCAGGAGCTTCCTTTTCCGACGTCCGTATGTTTCTTCGTTCAACGGCTCTTGTCATCACGAGATGAGTTGTTGCGTGCGTCCCTGGCCGAAAGTCGGACTGCAAGCCTCCTCGTGGCGGCCAGGGGTAACTTGATGCTGGCAGTATCTGTCGACGGCCGTCTTTCCCCAGAGGCGGCGGAGGGCATCAAGGCCAAGGAGGTAGAGGGGGCCTCCAGCAGACGCAAGTGTGCCGTGACGGCGGTCCGTGGCAGCCGACCCAGGGAGTGTAGGCCTAGTGCCCTGACTTTATAGTCCTCGCCGCATCGGGGGGTGCGGTCACGACTCCTACTGGGAAGGCTGTTCTTGGGTGCATCCTGATCGGCACACCTCGCGGACTTGAGTTCCGCGAGCAAGGGAAGGCTTGTGAGGGGTGTCTGGCCTCCCTGAGAGTGCTCCCGAGTACTGCCACGTACACAATCGCCCTGCGGCGGATGGCTAAGCCAACCGCCAGGAGTGGTCATTTTGACCTTTGCAGCTCCTGTTCCGGTTGTTGCGTGTCGTAGCGTTCCCCCGATGAACGGTTATTGCCCGAAGGTTGAAAATTTGGCGTGGCCGAGCGCACTTCGGAAAAGTGGAAGTGTTTCAAAATTCAGGCAGGCGCGTGTTATTCAGGTGTTCGTTTCGCCTTATTACGTAGCCGCTGTGTATCGGAAGCGGGAGGTTCGAAGGCTGGGGGAACTTAGAGAAAGAAACGAAAGCGCTTACATGGCTCATTGTGTCTCACGGGCGTTCGGGTTTTGGCGGCATTGATGGCATGACCGCCCCTTCGAAGGTGACCATGTCTCCGCGGTGTCTGGAGGCTTCCAACAGGAATTTCCTGTTCCAGCGTCTGGACATGTCTTCGCTCGACGGGGATAATTTGCCCGCTCGCAGGAAATAATTTCCTCGTTCGACCGAGGGAAATATCCCTGGCTCGCTGGCCAAAAATACCCCGTTCACACGTCCCTGTTTTCCCGCTCGACCAAAATCGGAGGCGACGATAGGGGCGAATAGCCCCATGGGGGAGCAATACGTGTATCCAGGGGCGCCGATGATCCATGTCTTCGGCGAGGCTACCCAGCGAATACGAATAGTGCCCGCCCCCGGGCTATTCGCCCTTATCGTCGCCGCCGACCGAAGCATGTTCCCGTGTCTGTGC